GATACGATTAAATTAAGACCTCAAGATGGGGATATTATCCTGGATTATCTGACTGGGCCCTAAATGTAATCACAAGTGTCCTTTTAAAGGGAGGGCAGGAGGAGAGTGAGAAAAAGGTGATGGAAACATAGAAAGAGAGAGACTGGAAGATGCTACGCTGCAGTCTTTGAAGATGGGCTATGAACCAAGGAATGCAGGCAGTTTCTAGAAGCTAGAAAAAGCAACGAAACAGATTTTCCCAAAGACCCTCCAGGAGGATGCAGGCCTGCTGACACCTTGATTTTAGCCCTTTGAAACTGATTTCAGACTTGTGTTCTTGTTTTATTTTTATTTTATTTTTGGCTGCACCACATCACATGGCTTCTGGGATCTTAGTTCCCCAACCAGGGATCAAACCCGGGCCCTCTGCAGTAAGAGTTCAAAGTCCTAACCACTGGCCTGCCAGGGAACTCCCCAGACTTGTGCTCTTTTAAGCCACTAACCTATAGTAATTTATTACAAGCAGCAAGAGGAAATTAATACAAATCATACATTATGATACAAATCATAATTTCGATTTCTTTAAAAAGGAACTTACATGCTTATTAGAAGTGTTGTTTATAAATACAGTAATAACTAAAACTCCAAAAAGAAGTTTTAAAAGTATGCACAACCATTAAAAACTATCACAGAGGGACTTCCCTGGTGGCGCAGTGGTTAAGAATCCACCTGCCAATGCAGGGGACATGGGTTCGAGCTTTGGTCCAGGAAGATCCCACATGCCGCGGAGCCAACTAAGCCCGTGCGCCACAACTACTGAGCCTGTGCTCTAGAGCCCATGAGCCACAACTACTGAGCCCGTACACCACAACTACTGAAGCCCGTGCGCCTAGAGCCCGTGCTCCACGAGAAGCCACCGCAACGAGAAGCCCGCACACCACAACGAAGAGTAGCCCCCGCTCTCTGCAACTAGAGAAAGCCCGCGCGGAGCAACAAAAACCCAATGCAGCCATAAATAAATAAATAAATTTATTTATTTTTTAAAAAGTCAAAGAAAAATTTAGTTATGTGGAATACATGAGGATATATTAAGAATTTTAAAAAGCAGGTTACAATACTATATAATTTTTTTTAGATTATACTTATGTGTATTTTGTTTCCTATAGTGTTACAGACTGAATTGTGTCTCCCCAAAGTTCTTATGTTATTCTTATTCTCTAACCTCCAATGTGATTATACTTGGTGACAGGGCTTTTAGGAGGTAATTAAGGTTAAATGAGGTCAGAAGAGCAGGGTCCTTATGATAGAATTAGCACCATTATAAGAACAGACACCTGAAAGCTTGCTCACTCATGCTCTCAATCTCTAACCATCATGTGAGAACATAGTGAGAAGAGGCCATGGAAGAGATCTCCTATTATACCAGAAACAACCTGCTAGCACCATGATCTTGGACTTCTAGCCTCTAGAACTGTGAGAAAATAAACTTCTTTTAAGCCACCCAATCTATGGGATTTTGCCACGGCAGCAGAAGCTACTACTACAGATTTTAGTATTGAGAAGCGGGGTGTTGCTTTAAGGAATACCTAAAACTGTGGAAGAAACTTTGGAACAGTAATGGGTGGAGGCTGGAAGAGTTTGGAGATGGCATGCTAGAAATATGGGTATTAAAGGTGATTCTGGTGAGATCTGAAATGGAAATGAGGAACATGTTATTGGAAACTGGAGAAAAGGTGACCCTTTTTATAAAGTGGCAAAGAACTGGCTGAATTTAGTGTTCCGTGGAAGATAGAACTTCCAAGTAATGAAACTGGCTATTTAGCTGAGGTTTCTAAGTGAAGTACTGAAGGAGTGGCTTGGCTCCTCCTGTTTATAGTAAAATGCAAAATGAGATATATGAAGAAATTGTCAAGCAAAAAGGAACCGGAACCTAAAAATTTGGAAAATTCTCAGCCTATCTATATTGCAAATTAGACAGCATGTTCTGAAGAGGACATCAAGGGTGTGGCTGGATCATCACTCCATAAAAAGCTTATGGTATTATAAGAGCCAAAACAATGCCAGTTTGAACTGAAGGGGATAGAGACAGGACAAAGTGAAGGAAGGCTGACCGACTTCTTGGATTTGAAAGGACTGGAGAGCTATTTTGCTGCAAACATCAGCTATTCTTCAAGAAGAGGGGAAAATGACCCTGAAGGCCATTCAGAGGTCATCAGGGATACTACCTCATTTTCAACAGGCCAGATGGCCTCTGCCAGAGGTCAGGGGCAGAACCTCCACCTAGAGTTGTGGGGTGATGCTGCCATGCCAGTGGGCCTGGAAGGCAGAGTATCAAACCAAAAAGGATTAATGTCAAGCCTTAAGATCTAATGGAATTTGCCTGGCTAGGTTTTGGACTTCCTGGGGACCCATCACTCCATTTTTCCTTCTGATTTCTTCCTTTAGAATGAGAATGTCTATCCTACCATTGTATTTCGGAAAGACTTGTCAGGTTTCACAGGTTCACAGCTGGAGAAGAATTCTGCCTCAGAAAGAACCGTACCTGAGGACTTCCCCACTCCCAACGCAGGCAGCCCGGGTTCGATCCCTGGTCAGGGAACTAAATCCCACACGTATGCTGCAACTAAGAGTTCACACACCACAACTAAGACCCGGCACAACCAAATAAAAATAAATATTAAAAAAAAAAACTGTACCTGGAATCTCACTGGCATCTGATTTAGAGATTATTTTAATGAGACTTTGTACTTTAGAGTTGATGCTGGAATGAATTAAGACTTTGGGGGCTGTTGGGATAGAATGTATTTTGCATGTGAGAAGGACATGAATTTGCGGGGACCAGCGGCAGAATGCTATGGACTGAAATGTGTCCTCTCAAAATTCATATGTTGAAGCCCTACCTCCAATGTGACTATTTGGAGATAGGGCTTTTAGGAGGTAATTAATGTTAAATGAGGTTATAAGGGTGGATTTCTCACAGGATTGGTGGTCTTATAAGACAGGAAGAGAGAACGGTCTCTATCTCTGCGCATTCACCTAGGAAAGTCCTTGTGAGCCAACAGTGAGAAGGCAGTTGTCTGCAAGCAAGGAAGACAGCCCTTACCAGAACCAGACCATACTGGGACACTGAGAAAATACCATGAGAAAATTCTGTTGTGTAAGTCTATGGTATTTTGTTTCTGCAGCCCAAGCGGACTAAGTGTATATTATAACTAGAAAAATAAATATCTTTTCAGCACAACTTTGAAAGGCTATATGAAAATTTTATTTAAAAAGAGTTGCAAACAAAAAGAAATACACTTGGCTTTGTCAATATTCAGGGTTTCATTTTTTTTTAACATCTTTATTAGAATATAATTGCCTTACAATGGTCTCTGCTTTATAACAAAGTGAATCAGTTATACGTATACATATGTTCCCATATCTCTTCCCTCGTGTCTCCCTCCCTCCCACCCCTCTAGGTGGTCACAAAGCACCGAGCTGATCTCTCTGTGCTGTGCAGCTGCTTCCCACTAGCTATCTATTTTACGTTTGGTAGTGTATATATGTCCATGCCACTCTCTCACTTTGTCCCAGTTTACCCTTCCCCCTCCCCATATCCTCAAGTCCATTCTCTAGTAGGTCTGTCTTTATTCACGTCTTGCCCCTCAGTTCTCCATGACCATTTTTTTTTTTCTTAGATTCCATATATATGTGTTAGCATACGGTATTTCTGACTTACTTCACTCTGTATGAGACTCTAGGTCCATCCACCTCACTATAAATAACTCAATTTCGCTTCTTTTTATGGCTGAGTAATATTCCATTGTATATATATGCCATATCTTCTTTATCCATTCATCTGTTGATGGACATTTAGGTTGCTTCCATGTACTGGCTATTGTAAATAGAGCTGCAATGAACATTTTGGTACATGACTCTTTTTGAATTATGGTTTTCTCAGAGTATATGCCCAGTAGTGGGATTGCTGGGTCGTATGGTAGTTCTATTTTTAGTTTTTTAAGGAATCTCCATACTGTTCTCCATAGTGGCTGTATCAATTTACATTCCCACCAACAGTGCAAGAGGGCTCCCTTTTCTCCACACCCTCTCCAGCATTTATTGTTTGTAGATTTTTTGATGATGGCCATTCTGACTGGTGTGAGATGATATCTCATTGTAGTTTTGATTTGCATTTCTCTAATGATTAATGATGTTGAGCATTCTTTCATGTGTTTGTTGGCAATCTGTATATCTTCTTTGGAGAAATGTTTATTTAGGTCTTCTGCCCATTTTTGGATTGGGTTGTTTGTTTTTTTGTTATTGAGCTGCATGAGCTGCTTGTAAATTTTGGAGATTACTCCTTTGTCAGTTGCTTCATTTGCAAATATTTTCTCCCATTCTGAGGGTTGTCTTTTTGTCTTGTTTATGGTTTCCTTTGCTGTGCAAAAGCTTTTAAGTTTCATTAGGTCCCATTTGTTTATTTTTATTTCCATTTCTCTAGGAGGTGAGTCAAAAAGGATCTTGTTGTGATTTATGTCAGAGTGTTCTGCCTATGTTTTCCTCTAAGAGTTTGACAGTGTCTGGCCTTACATTTAGGTCTTTAATCCATTTTGGGGTCTCACAGTTCTTTTAAAGTACAGTGTTATAATGCTTTATAAAATGACCTCTTAACAGTATCTGATGCCTGGTAACACTGATATTTATCACTTAACAACCCCCTTACTCTCTTGACGTTATGATTTGAGTAGACAGAATATAAAATGACAGGTAATTTTTTATAATGACTGCATTAATTATAATAAAAACATATGGGGCTTCCCTGGTGGCGCAGTGGTTGAGAGCCCACCTGCCGATGCAGGGGACGCGGGTTCATGCCCCGGCCCAGGAAGATCCCACATGCCGCAGAGCGGCTGGGCCCGTGAGCCATGGCCGCTGAGCCTGCATGTCTGGAGCCTGTGCTCCGCAACGGGAAAGGCCACAACAGTGAGAGGCCCACGTACCACAAAAGAAAAAAAAAACCATATGCCTTAAAGCGCTCAAAAATAAGAGTGTTACAATTAGTTATCCTATACTAAAGTAGTCATTTGAAATTAGTCTTACATAATTAGGATGACCATAAGCCTGATTTGCCTGGGACAGTCCTGATTTATGTCCTGGTATAATTGTTAGCAGTGCCTATTTTCATTCTTTAAAAAGTCCTTGCCAACTATGGTTAGTCTATGTATAATCAATTACAGAATAATTACATTTTTTAAATTTTATGAATTTAGTGTTCAGTCTGGGACAGGAAATACCAACTGTCACTGAAGTCTGGAAAATATGGTTGTCACGGTATATAATATTCAATTACTTAAATAATTTTCTTCCACTGGGAGTTAAAGTAAATTTTGTAAATGAATTAAGAAGCACTAAGAACCAGGTACCAAAACATTTTTAAATTTTGAAACCACTCAACAATCCAAATTTTTAATTTATTCAAGCAGTATTAAGATTATTCAAAGGAAAAATGTCAATACACCTAGAACTGGATCACACCATGTTTCAAAAATATGGAAATAAATGACTGTGAGCTTATCAACTTGACAACATAGATATATGTTCCAGTCAATGTTCTAGATGGGATAACAACTCTAAAGTCCTTCCTTTAATGTTACAAAATAACATTAAAAAATGAACAAATGACTTAGATTTTAGGATTGGGGTCACTAAAATCAGACTGGTCATCCAAAATGTGTATCCTACTCATAAACTGAATGTAATGATATGCTGACTCATGGTGCTGGCTTTTCTTCATAATGGAAACATGTCATTTTTAAGAATTATCAAAGCTACATTTAAAGAGGAGAGCACAATAGGAATGTTAAAAAAATCTTTTCTTCCTAGAAATGTCTAGGCAATTGGCAAAGAAAGGAGGAGAAAACAGTCTGAATATTAAATTCAGTTGGCCACAAGCGATCAGCTTTCCACATTTGCAAAATACAATAACTGTATCATCTCTACTGAATGTTATTGAAAATGAAAACAGGGTTAAATACAACTGTAGAACACTGCTTAGTTTAGAAAAACTTTCAGAGAATCCTATTTGTTAAGTGTTTTCACTTAATATAGACCTGATCCATTCATTCACCATTCACTTAATATAGACTGGATTCATTCACGCCATAGTGTTTATATTCTAAAGTAACGAGTCTACTACTTGTAAGCACTGCATCTCTCACAGCATCAATACATATGTATACTCTGAGACTAGTCTTTGGATTCCTTTTCTTCCTCTGAGTCCCGTGACCGCTTCCGGATATTCAATGAACCTTCTGTTTGCAATGAACATGCAGTAGCAACAACAGCATCTCTAAATCCCTGAGGCTGCGAAATGAAAAAATATACAAGTATGCTTTAAGAACATCTAAAATAACAACTGGTCTTCCAAATATTTTAAAGTAATTGATAAAAGAGCTACTTTATTCTTGGGATAGAAGTTATCAACCACTGTGAATGAAGAGGATAAACCTCAAAGATAGACAGGGCTATAATAGGGTAACTTTTATGTAGAGTATGTGTATGTCTTTACTTATACATACACATACACAGAAATATAGTACATTATAAAAATATTCTCTAAAAGTCAATCCTAACAAACTTTACAGTGGCTCTATTAAAAGAGGTGAAAGGAATTAACATGCACTAATTACTTAGGTACTTTAGAAATATTTTCACAATTAAATACTCTAATGAATTGGGAGATTGGGATTGACATATATACACTAATGCGTATAAAACAGATAACTAATGAGAACCTGCTGTATAGCACAGGGAACTCCACTTCGCTGTACAATAGAAACTAACACAACACTGTAAAACAACTATACCCCAATAAAAATAAATACTCTAAAATAAAATGTCCCGATTAGATACTTTAAATGCACCTGGGCAGTGCAAAGACTAAGTAGATAATTCAGTTTCAGAATCTCCTTCTATTTCTGTTTTTGTCCTTAAAAAATGAGACGCTAAGAATATATCTGATTCAACACTATCGATAAATATGCATTATTTTAGCCAAAAATTTATTTTCTATGATGTAAAATTACTGGAAAATTAACACTTTGAAGTGGGATATATTTCACTTATATGTGGAATCTAAAAAAATAACAAGAAACTAGTGAATACAACAAAAAAGAAGCAGACCTACAGATACAGAGAACAAACCTAGTGGTCACCAGTGGGAAGAGGAAAGTGGGGAGGGGCAATAATGAGGTAGGGGATTGAGGTGTACAAACTACAACACTATGCATAAAATAAACTACAAGGATATTACTGTACAACATGGGGAATATAGCCAGTATTTTACAATAACTATAAATGGAGTATAACCTTTAAAAATTGTGAATCACTATAATGTACACGTGTAACTTATATAATATTACATATCAACTATACTTCAATAAAAAAAGAAAAAAGTGGGATATATTTGATGACTATGATAGATCTATCAAAATGAGTAATGCTGGTATTTTTTTCTTTTCTGAAAATCTTTAACGACTTTCACTTTAAAAATCTAATATCCTGACATTACACATGGCACGGAACACACTCCCCTATAAATAAGTATTTCCTCTGTTCTTAAGAATAAATTTCAGTTTAATTGTGACTAGAGAATTCTTACATATACTACTATTTTGGGGATAATGTTCTAAGCGTCAAAAGCTGTCCTCAAATATGCTTGCTGCCTACAGAAGTTAACAGAAGCAATTTGTAAATGCTCTCTTGAGATAATTACTGCCCACTAACACCAAAATCCCACTCTAACCAAATAATACTGACTGTGATTTGAAATAGTACTGTAGCATCCTTCTGGCTTGGTGATTTGTACAATGTTGCCAACCTGGTTAGAGAAAAAGAATAAATACACACAAACACATGATCTTAATTAATTAGTTCAGACGACTGACTTCATAATTTAAATTCATAGCTTTTTACTATAATTCTATTATTTTGTTCTCTAAGAACACAGAAAGCAAAGAAATATCAAAAATACTCCCTTAAAACAAGAGCTATATGTATACATGTAATAATTATTACATATAATAACAATACGGGCTTCCCCGGTGGCACAGTGGTTAAGGATCCGCCTGCCAATGCAGGGGACACAGGTTCGAGCCTTGGTCTGGGAAGATCCCACATGCCGCGGAGCAAATAAGCCCATGCGCCACAACTACTGAGCCTGTGCTCTACAGCCGCGAGCCACAACTACGGAGCCCCTGTGCCACAACTACTGAAGCCCACGCGCCTAGAGCCCAGGCTCCACAACAAGAGAAGCCACTGCAGTGAGAAGCCCGCGCACTGCAACGAAGAATAGCCCCCGCTCGCCGCAACTAGGGAAAGCCCACGTGCAGCAACAAAGACTCAACATAGCCAAAAAATAAAATAAAAATAAAAATAAATTAAAAAAACCAAAAATCCACAATAGATTTGTTTACATAAGTGAAATCTTAAAACAACCAAAAAGGCCAATGACTGATTCACATAAATTATTTTATACATGACAAGATGCTATTTACACTTAAGAAAATAAAGTGGAAGAAAATATTTAATGAGATTGGAAAATATTAATAATATATGAAGTATAAGTTATACTGTATGAGCCGACATTTATGAATGTTTGTACATATACATTATATAGAAAAATTACTAAAAGACTACAATCAAAGGGACTTCCCTGGTGGTCCAGTGGGTAAGACCCCATGCTCCCAATGCAGGGGGTCTGGGTTCGATCCCTGGTCGGGGAACTAGATCCCGCATGCATGCTGCAACTAAGTTCTGGCGCAGGCTAAATAAATAAATAAATATTAAAACAAACAAAACCAAAAAATACTACAATCAAAAAGTTAAGTTGTTGTTACAAGGTAAAAGTTGTTCTTTTGTTTGGTTATCTACATCTTTCAAACTTTCTACAGTACTTGTGTATTTTTTTACGTGTTATAATAGAAGTATTAAGACAATTTCTTGGTATTTAAATGAGGAACACGTACTCATATTATACTAATACAAATAATCTAGGAAAACACATTCTTTCAAAATGCTTATGTTCAGAAAAATCGCTGTCAAAACAGGACAAGGTCTGTTTAGGTATGATTTTATTGTGTACTCTACAAAGTAAATAATATAAAACTGAAAGCTGAAAGTAGTTGAGAAATAAAATTCTAAACTCTTATTAACTATGCTCAAATACCGTAACAGCAACAAATACATTTGACCCTTGAACAATGCAGGGGTTAGGGGCACCAACCCTGTGCAGTCCAAAATCCAAATACTCTGCTTCAAAAACAAAGGAATTGATAAATGAGTCACCCAAGGGCAGGAAGCTGAAACAGTTTAGATAGAATCAGGACTCAAACCCTAGCTCTTTTAACTCCACATACTCTGATCTCTAATTGAACACAAAAAAACTCTTCCCCACACTTAAAAGATCTGTAAAATGAAAATACAGATACTACATTTATTGAAAAAAATCTGCCTATAAGTAGACCCATGCAATTCAAACCCTTGTTGTTCACTGGTCAACTGTATAAGAAAAAAAAATTTTTTGTTTTTTGGCCGCACCATGTGGCATGTGGGATCTTAGTTCCCTGACCAGGGATCAAACCCGCGCCCCCTGCAGTGGAAGCATGGGGTCTTAATCACTGGACCGCCAGGGAAGTCCCTAAGCAAAAACTTTTAAAGTGTCTTTTAAAAATTACTTTAAAACTGATATAATTTATTCACAATAGCTAAAAGGTAGAAGCAACCCAAGTGTCTGACAGATGAATGAATGGATAAACAAAAGGTGGTATATACATACCATGGAATATTGCTCAGTCTTAAAAAGGAAAGGAATTCTGACATATGCTACAATGAACCTTAAAGACTTTACACTAAGTCAAATAAAGCCAGTCACAAAAGGACCAATATTGTATGCTTCTGCTTAAAAGAGGTGCCTAGAGCAGTCAAATTCATAGAGACAGAAGGTAGAATGGTGGTTCCCAGGGGCTGGTAGGAGGGGAGGATGGGGAATTAGTATTTAATAAGCATGGAGTTTCAGTTTAGGAAGATGAAAAAGGTCTGGAGATGGATGGTGGTGATGACTGTAAAATAATATGAATGTACTTCACGCCACAGAATCGTACACTTAAATGGTTAAAATGGTAAATTCTTTGTTACATATACTTTACCACAATTTTTTTTTTTGGCTGCAGCACGCAGAATGCAGGATCTTAGTTCCCTGAGCAGGGATCGAACCTGTGCCCCCCTACAGTGGAAGTGCAGTCCTAACCACTGGACGCCAGGGAATTCCCTACTTTACCACAATTTTAAACAACTGATATAACTGTACAAAATAAGGATTCTAACTTAGAGAAAAATCATAGCCTCTCAGAGTTAAACGGATCATTTCTTTAAATGTCATATAATGTTGATTTGTTTTCAAAAATAATTCAAAAAGACATCTTGGTTTATGATGGTACTCTCTTAATTTTGCAACTGGCCCCTACTCAGGCATAATTCAAAAGAGAAGCAATCAGAGACCATCATCCATTAGCTTTTAGGTTTGTTCTTTCAGGATGAGAATAGAAGAATCCAAAATGTCATATCTTTGTAATAGCAACTGTCTGCATAAATAAAATAACTGTTAAGTAATATGTAATATAAGAATAATTGTGTTAGGGAGTGAAATCATCAACTTTTACAATGCTTTAGGGCTGATGGTCTATCTTTAACGCAAAATAAAACAGAAAAAATAGAGGCATGGAGTATTTAAATCTATCTTATTAAAAAAATCACACTTTTGTTTTTGTTTGTTTGTTTTGCGGTATGCGGGCCTCTCACTGTTGTGGCCTCTCCCGTTGCGGAGCACAGGCTCTGGACGCGCAGGCTCAGCGGCCATGGCTCACGGGCCCAGCCACTCCGCGGCATATGGGATCTTCCCGGACCGGGGCACGAACCCATGTCCCCTGCATTGGCAGGCGGACTCTCAACCACTGCGCCACCAGGGAAGCCCAAAAAAAAAATCACACTTTTTGATTCAATGAAACAAAAATTAGCTAACCTTCTGAAAAAGTGGTATCTAAATCACCTCATATCACCATATGTCCAAAAAGGTACCCAGTACATCCAACTTTTCTGAGAAAATTATTAAAAAGCAAATAAGATTTTAAGAAGCATTTATATGTTTATTAATAATCCTAACATCAAATGGGCATTAAGTATTAAGGCTGAAAATCTTCCTCAAATTTCTAGGTAAAAATAAAATTTATATTTCACGTCTGCATCTCAAGAGATTTTTTGTGTGTGTGTGGTACGCGGGCCTCTCACTGCTGTGGCCTCTCCCGTTGCGGAGCATAGGCTCCGGATGTGCAGGCTCAGTGGCCATGGCCCACAGGCCCAGCCACTCCGCGGCATACGGGATCTTCCTGGACCGGGGCACGAACCCGTGTCCCCTGCATCGGCAGGCGGACTCTCAACCACTGCGTCACCAGGGAAGCCCTCAAGAGATCTTTTTAAACAACAAACTAAACCAAAGAATCACTTGGCTCATGGCCCCAGCTGAGATGAAGCTTAACATATGGCTGAACTACAGTTTAGGTCAGGAAGAAACAAGACAGAAGCACAATTTGTGCTTTAAAACTGAGACACATATGAAACACTGCGCGGGGGTGTTGATGTATTACTCCACTCTACCACCAGATCTCCTTGGCAAACAGTGGTATAATTCTGAACAATCTTGGCCTCATCTTATCATGAATATGCAAACTGGAGGAAAACCCACACAACGTACCGGACAGAGACAAAAGTATTTCTCTTAATAACTATTGGAATGTTATTCCATTATTAACCAAAGGGTAAAAATCAGGCGTTTCTAGTGAAGATGGGGACTGGGGCATGAGGCGGAACACTTAAATTCAATTCTCCATGTAAATTTGGTCTTTAGTTTTCTGCTCAAACTATAAGTGTTCATTTTTATAACTATTTTCCCCCAGCATGAGTTTCTATTTCCATCCTTTCAAGATAAACTAAATTTTAAAACACATACAAGATTTCATACAACTTTAATAACTTAAAGATATCAGATTTCAAACAATGAAGAACAAAACTATGTTGATTTTATTAAATGAGGTCAACTTATTCTGATTCTATAAAGTATGTACATTACTTATCATATATCTACAGCCTAGGAAAAAAAGCAGTTTGGAGAAAAAGGTTTTTACCTAAAAAGGAGGATAAGAGCTATACCTTCAGATTCGCTGGCAATCAATGCAATAATATAATAACATTCTAGAAACAGCAATTATAGGAGAAAAGGAATGGACTCTATTATAAAGTCAGCTAAAAAATGTGGATACTACTACCTATTTCATAGTTATTTGGAAAATAAAATGAAATTATATATATATACATACACAGAGCACTTAGCATAATAAAGAACAGTTAATAAATATTCAAAAAATGGTAGCTATTATTTACTACTTTTTAATCTTTCTGTGCCTTGATCTTCTCACTGCTAGTGATAATTGGTACAGCGTTTTCTAAGAGTTACTGAAGGATTCACAGATATAGAAAATAAATTAGTGGTTACCAGTGGGGAGAAGGAGGGGGCAATACAGGAGTAGGGGATTAAGAGGTACAAACTACTATGTATAAAATAAGCTACAAGGATACACTGTACAACACAGCAAATATAGCCAATATTTTATAATAACTATAAATGGAGCATAACCTTTAAAAATTGTGAATCACTATACTGTATACCTGTAACTTCCATAATAGTGTATATCAACTATATTTAATTTTTTTTAAATAGTTATTGAAGGGATTATATGAAAGGTTGTATACAAGGTGCCCAGTTAAATACCTAGCACAAGCAGGCACTTATTAAAATGATAGTATGGAATACAGGTAAAAATTCATAGAACAGCACATTTCCCCTAAATCTATCTATTCAATGTCAGTGTTCTACGCCACTAATTTCTTGGGAAAGATTAGTAAGAAGCTGAAGTCATAAAATGGTTAACTCTTAAGAAAGTAAGCATGATTTTCTGATCTCATGGGTGCCTAACCAATGCTAACTTCTAGAATTTGACAAAGGCAGCAAACTTCTCCTTCTGACGAATGCATAAAAAGATGAAAGAAACATCTTTCTCTGCTCCTATTATTTTTCTCACTTCTTAGATGTATTCTATTAGTGAGTATGTAATACTAGAATAATAGTGGAAGAATACTACTGTATACTAGCTCAAGGGGAACTTCTAATAACATTTAAATAGTGGGATGTGCTTTCCAGAAACCTAAATCTGGGAAAATATAAGCGATATGTTCAAAAGACTCTCATCTGGAGAACTGCTGCCAATCTTTCCAATACGGTTTGTTGCTGAGAAAAGAATTGCTTTTGTGAATCCAGTACACAATGACTTATTTACAGAATTGGAGGGATGGGAGTTGAATGTAAAGCACTATGTATTATGGGGGAAAAAAGTTACCTGAGGTCTTTGGAAATGCCAGCTTTAAAAGAGACACAAACTGCATGAACTAGTTATAAAAGATGTATACAAATATAATAGGGTCAGCTATGAGCTCAGGGTCAGTAAAACCTAACTTGGTCAGGCTTGATTTTTTTCACTTTGTACAAGAATGAAGAAATGCAGAAAAAGAAATAGATAGTATCTCTGACCAGACCCAATATGTCTTTAAGCAATCCTTTTTTCCATTTTTGCCCACATGCTGTCTCAATTTCCCTATTTTATTGGAGTATTTCCAAACCAAGTTCTCTAGGTTATACCAATTAACTTGAAAGCAGAGATGTTGGCATAAATCTGACATTTCTGGAAGTATAGAATAAAAGACTCCACGGCTTTCAATTGCCTATTTAAAAAAAATGAAAGGTGGTTTGTTCACTTGCTCAGCAGCTTTAAAAACAAAGGTTTCATGCTGCCACAGTTTTATTTTAAAGAACAATACTTGTGAAAGGCAAGTAAGTAACTGGATAATAAAAGTAGGACAGGAAAATATAAAAGAAAACAAAAACAGACACAATTTCACACAGGAAATATATTAACAAACTAAGAAAAACCATCCTATTTTCCACATAACCTAAAGCTAACCTCAAAAGTTTTCCTTTTGTCCTGATTTTACTCTTCTTTCAATCCCTTCCAGGAACACAGAGTACCTACCTCCCTCTGCATGGTTAATAAATGGTACTTGATTTCAAAGAGCTTTAGAAGGTAGCATTCTTTGGCCACCTACTCATTTCAGGAGCACCCCATCATTTCAATATTCCGAAGAATTTCCTAGGTAGTTAAATGTGCAGTATAACAACATGTTTCTATGTTTGCTCTAGGTAATGAAGGCAACAAAAGCTTTAGTTCATGGGGCACTATAGATCTCATCCACTGGACTAGCTCTAAGAAACTGATAAATGCTCAGTGTAATTAACCCAATACTCAGAATTTTTAACTTATTTCTATACTGACCTTCGCTTCTGGTCCCAATGAAAGATTAGTCGTATTGTAGCAGCATGCCCCCAACTTTCCCCTGAGGGAAAAAGAACATGGTAACTGACTGAGTTATAAGTCTCTCAGAATGCCTCTGACCAAATACAGTTTTACTTTGCTTAATTTAACATAACAAAAGTATATCTGGTTTCAAAAAACCTGGTACATGGGTAACATCCTGAGATTAATAGATTTTCACCTATCTGTGGCAATACTGCAGATCATTATCACTATCCTCTATTTGCTTTTAGAAAACTTTGTAGTTTGAGTCAACATATTTGTCAATCTTCCTTATCATCAGGCTTACTAACGTATTTCAGACCACCAGAAGAAAAACAAAAGCTCTGACAGAATATTCTTAAAGATTTTAGTACAAATAAACCTTGAAGCACTGTGTTCTAACAAAGCCACGAGTAAGGTTAGAGTCATAAGCCTATTCATTACAGTTTGATTTGTATTTAAATGGATTCACCACTCCTCCTAAGACTGCGCTTTCTGAGGGAGTCATCTTATGAATATTTATATGCTAAGTACCTGACACAAGAGTTGCCAGAGAGTAGATGCTCAATAAATGTTAAACAACTGAAAGGATGAGTCAGTATCTAAAGGCACTGTGCTCCACACTAAGATTTATCAGTGAATAAGACAGTCTTCTCTACTTTCATGGAGCTTACAGTACTCAACAAGCATCAAATGAAAGAGGTAGAAAAAAATGTATTTAACTAAAAATGTTTATTTGATTAATTGCCTACCCAGTGCAGGAACCAGCAAGGCCTGATTTTTATCAATCTTTGTTGTCATCTGATTGGTTAAAATTACCTACAAAAACAAAATGTGAGAAAATTAGGTGAGTCTCCTCCCAAATTTATCAAGTAAATAGTCACGTGATTTTAGTATTCTGAATATAATCTAATTTAAAGAGAGATATATGTAGGTAATGAAAACTTTTCTCATATATTTTTTAGATATTACCCATAAAAATGAGTAAAATTATCTGAATACATGATTCTACTGAATATAAAACATTTTTTAACAGACTAGAACAAAGAAGTTCTTATTGTGATAATGGAAAAAAAAAATATAGTAGATAATACATAAAGGTCTAAAGAGACCATGTGTAAAAACTTCATAACTAGGAGCACAGGAAACATGGGAGTGTGTGTTCTTTACCACTGTTGCCTCTCTAGAATATATTTACTCAAAGGAATATAAAATCCTTAATAAATAACTCAATGTTTATACTTTTAGGGGACAGACAGTATTACCATTTATGATTTTACAGAAAAAAAAAAACCGAGGCAAAGAATTATGAAAAGAGATCTAAAATCATAAAGAGAGCACAGTATAAGTAGAAGAACTGGGAAAAGATAAAACCCAGTAACAGATCAACTGACCCAAAAATTATGACTATGCTAGTCTGCTGGTAATAGAGATATAGGTGTTGCCTTACCCACAGATGCCCTCAAGGCTAAAAATATTGCTAATTCTTTTGGATTAAATAGTGGCCTATAGAAAAGATTCCATGTTTAGAAAGATAGTAATTTTATTTTATTTACTTATTCTTTGGCTGCACCGCATGGCATGCGGGATCTTAGTTCCTCAACCAGGGATCGAATCCGTGCCCCCTGCAGTGGAAGCATGGAGTCTTAACCACTGGACCTCCAGGGAAGTACCGAAAGATAGTAATTTTAGAGTAGAGATAAAGAAAGTGTTTAAGGCTACCTTAATATAGTAAAAGTCAGATTATCTGGCACCTTCTCATCTAAAATTCTCCAGAAATGGTTATTTTAAATATTGTTCCAATATAGATCTTCCCTCCAGAAATAAGACAAATACTACTTCAAGCTGAAACTGATAAAGAACTTCTAAGAAAAGCAATAAGAAAAGATACCTACTCTAAAAAAGTCATCTATTTCTTAAGAAAACTGAAAAGAAAAGCTGTTTGGCTGTTCCCACCACAGTGGTCAACACCCTAAAGTTTCTGTTTATCTATGAAGGAGAAATCTGTGACCCATCTAGATCTCAGTCAAGCACAAACTGGATGACAGCACTTCCTCCTAGTTCCTCTCCCCTTAAGTGCCATAGTGGTTTTCCCATGTGTTACCTTATTCCAGGTATCTCAGAACAAGCTAAGCAGGAATTTAAATTGGTAATTCACTAAAATATATTTCTTACTGGCATCCACAACATGTTGAATAATACTCTTTACACACTATCAAGTGTTTAATCTTTAGCAACTGGGATATTTACTTACACCAACACTTTTTGGTTAAAGGTGCACTATTCAATTCTGCAGCCATGAGCCACATTTAGCTTTTTAAAACTAAATTAATTAAAACTAGAAATTCACTTCCTCTGCAGCATTAGCCACATTTCAAGTGCTCAGCACCCATGGAACTACTATATCAGACTGAGCATTTTCATCTTTTTTTTCTTTTTTTGGCTGCGTTGGGTCTTTGTTGCTGTGCTCAGACTTTCTCTAGTTGCGGCAAGCGGGGGCTACTCCTCATTGCGGTAGGTGGGCTTCTCATTGCGGTGGCTTCTCCTGTTGCAGAGCACAGGCTCTAGGTGCGCAGGCTTCAGCAGTTGCGGCACGTGGGCTCAGTAGTTGTGGCTCGTGGGCTCTAGAGCACAGGCTCAGTAGTTGTGGCGCTCAGGCTTAGTTGCTCCATGACATGTGGGATCTTCTCAGGCCAGGGATCAAACCCGTGTACCCTGCATTGGCAGGTGGATTCTAAACTACTGTGTCACCAGGGAAGTCCGGAGCATTTTCTTCTTTGCAGAAAGTTCTACCAGACAGCATTGGCTTAGAGAATATTACACATCTTACACATTATCCATTACACATCTTGAGGAAATTGTAAATAGACATACTGGCTTACCAGTTGTTCAACATCCCAAAATAAGAATTTGCATTGTTAGCATATACTTATAATTAACAGTATTTCTGCAAAAATGTTGGGTTTACCATGACATAAATGAAAATTACTGTGTGATTACTCCAAGCTCCTAAAGAATGAGTCTTGGGAGTTCCCTAGTGAACTAGTAGATAGGATTATGGCCTTTCACTGCCATGGCCCGGGGTTCAATCCCTGGTTGGGGAATTGAGATCCCGCAAGCTGCGCAGCACGGCCAAAAAAATTTAAAAAGAATGGGTCTTAAAATAGTGAAGTGGGGACTTCCCTGGTGGCGCAGTGGTTAAGAATCCGCCTGCCAATGCAGGGAACAAGGGTTCGAGCCCTGGTCTGGGAAGATCCCACATACCACGGAGCAACTAGGCCCGAGCGCCACAACTACTGAGCCTGCACGCCTAGAGCCAGTGCTCCACAACGGGAGAAGCCACCGCAATGAGAAGCCCACGCACAGCAACGCAACTAGAGAAAGTCCGTGTGCAGCAAGGAAAACCCAACGCAGCCAAAAATAAATTAATTAATTAAAAAAAAACAGTGAAGTAATAATCACTTTAAAATTATAAACTTCACTGCTTTAAAAATACTTCTGTGGGCTTCCCTGGTGGCGCAGTGGTTGAGAGTCTGTCTGCCGATGCAGGGGACACGGGTTCATGCCCCGGTCCGGGAAGATCCCACATGCCGCGGAGCGGCTGGGCCCACGGGCCATGGCCGCTGAGCCTGCGCGTCCGGAGCCTGTGCTCTGCAACGGGAGAGGCCACGACAGTGAGAGGCCCTCATATGGCCAAAAAAAGGAAGCCAGACATAAAAGACCACATATTGTATGATTCTATTTATATAAAATATCCAAAAAGACAAATCCATAGAGACAGAAAGCAGACTAGTGGTTGTTAGTGGCTGAAGGGAGGGTGCAATGGGGAATGATGGTTAATGGGTAAGGGAGTTCTTTTTGGGGTGACGGAAATGTTCTAAAATTAGATAGCTGTGATGGTTGCACAACTCTGCAAATATACTAAAAAGCACTGAACTATGATTTAAAAGGGCTAATTTTATGCTATATTAATTATATCTAATAGAGCTGTTAAATTTTTTTCTGATAATAATCAAATAAATGCATCTCTAGAAGGACTCTCTCCATATCAGTCTGCAAAGACTTAAAAGACTCAAAGTTGGTAAAGAAGTGGGAAAACAAGAATTCTCATGCATGTTATACACATGAAATTAATATAATATTGTAAATCAAAATATCTCAAAAAAAAAGTCTATCTTCTATTTTAGAAAAAGTATAATTGGAATCTAATCAAGAGGAAACATCACAGAAACCCAAAATTGTAACTTTTTTTTTTTTTTTGCCAAGCCATGTGGCATGTGGGATCTTAGTTCCCCAACCAGGGATTGAACCGTGCCCCTGCATTGGGAGTATGGAGTCTTAACCACTGGACGGCCAGGGAAGTCCCCACAGAAACCCAAAATTAAGAGATAATCTCTAAAATCACTGGCTTCTATTCTTCAATACAGCAATGTCACAAAAACAAAGAAAGGCAACTAAAGAGATACAACATCTAAAGGCAATATGCGATTCCAGTTGGCAAAAAGAACAGGAAAAATTTGCTGTGAAGGACATCATTGGGATAATTGACAGAACAGGAATATGGATTATATACTAAAGTGCTGTATCAATATTAAATTTCCTACATTTGATAACTATACTGTGGACACATATGAGAATATTTCTTGTTCTTAGGAAATACACGCTGAATATTATCAGATAAAAGGATATGATATATGCAACTCTTTTCAAAGTGTTCAGAAAAATATATACATAAACTCTGTGTGTGTGTTTGTGTATGTATAGAAAGAGAGTGGGGAGAGAGAATAAGAATGAAAAAGCAAACCTTGGGAAAGGTTATATGGGAGTTCTTTATACTATTCAAATCAACAAAATAAATAAAATTCTATCTTTTCCCCACTGAACTAAAAAAAAAAAAAAAAGAAAGGATTCCCATTCATTGTTGTAGAGAATATACTTTGGGATACGCTTTCTGAGGGCAATTTGATAATATATTACAAAAGGTTTAAAAATAGGGATATCTCACTGGCTTAATACTTTCAGAAATGACTGGACACACGGACAAAGAAGCATATATAAAGTTGTTGACTCCAGTGTTTTACATGGTGTTTTACATGGTGAAACACTGGAGCCAACTTTAAAGACGATCAATAGAGAGAGAGGTGGTTAAAAAACTATGCCACAACCATACAGTAGAATACTATATAGATGTTAAGGTAAGGTACATTTATAAAGTAGTATGTATGGGAAGAGGTTCATAGTATATTAAGTAAAAAACAACTGTTTGCTTGATTGATTTTAATATGATTTCACTTAAAAAATATGTATATGTTTACACAGAATAAGTTTGGAAAAATATATACAACAAACTCAACAATAATCATCTCTGGGTAATAGATAATATAATTGCTTACTTTCTACACTTTCGATTGCTTAAAACTTTTTTTACAGCAAGCAAATATAACTTAAAATTGTAAAATGTACTTATTAGCAAAGGTCATACATGCTTCTATAGATGCTAACTGGGAAATTAAAAATCAAGTAAAGAAGAATTTATAAACTAAGAGGAGAAAGTATACACTCAACCCACAAAGTCCTACCTCTAGAAGTAGCTACTGTAAATGTTTTGGTCCTTTCAGATCTTTTTCTTCATATATATAAATATAAATGCACATATATAACTTCTGTTTTCTTCAAAAATTGGGATCACAGGGCTTCCCTGGTGCCGCAGTGGTTGAGAGTCTGCCTGCCGATGCAGGGGACACGGGTTTGTGCCCCGGTCCGGGAAGATCCCACATGCCGCAGAGCGGCTAGGCCCGTGAGCCCTGGCCGCTGAGCCTGCGTGTCAGGAGCCTGTGCTCCGCAACGGGAGAGGCCACAACAGTGAGAGGCCCGTGTACCGCAAAAAAAAAAAAAAAAAAAAATTGGGATCACACTAAATATATTATTATGTAAGTTGAATTTTTTCACTTATTCATATATCTGGATATATCTTCTTCCATGTTAGTGCATGTATATTTACATTACTCTTCTTAAACACTGCATAGTATTCCATGTTGTTATTTAGATTACTTTTTTTTTTTTTTGGCTGAGCCGTGCAGCACAGCTTGCAGGATATCAGTTCCCCAATCAGGGATTGAACCCAGGCCATGGCAGTGAAAGCCTGGAATCCTAACCACTAGACCACCAGGGAACTCCCTAGATTACTTTTTTAATCAGAAAAGACGAAGCTATTTCTGTTAAAAAACAAAAACCTAAGGAACTATGCAACCCATTAGCCTTGAGTGCCCCCTACTGGGGACTCTTCACTGATATTAACAGAATGCTAAATTACAAATTAATGCCAAGAAATAATTCAAAGACAGGACACTATGTTTTCAGCATATGGCAAAAAAAATCTAAAAACTCAAAAGAAAAAATGTATGTTTTGAAATTATTTTATTGAGGAGTTATTTACATATGATGTATTACAGCCTTGTGCAAAGGACTCTAATTGGCGGTGAAGACAAGAAAATCAAGGTAAGCAGTTTGATCTTCTCCCATCTCCCTCCCAGACAAGTGTGTATATTTGTGTCAGTGGTAGGATGAGGTTGCAAAGAGAGAAGTGAAAACAGGCAATAAAAAAAAGTTTTTACCTCACTCCTTTTTTTTGTTTGTTTTTGTTTTGGTTTTTTTTGGCCACAAACACACAGCACGCAGGATCTCAGTTCCCCGACCAGGGATCGAATTCGCACCCACTGCAGTGGAAGTGCAGAGTCCTAACCACTGGACCACCAGGGAATCCCCTACCTCACTCCTTTTATCTCTTTACTTCTGAACTTATCTTTATGTCTCTCCTCACACTACAAATCTAGAAGCGTTAGCTCCACCTCTAAACATCTACGTTGTTTACACTATGTAATTTTTCTATCCAAGTCTGTGATTATACACTATGTAATAATCAAAGACTCAAGAGTAAAAGAAAAATGGGGATGTTGGAAGAGCTTACCTGAAAAACGTCAAGTATGTTACAAAGAAAACAATGCAATTATCAAAGATGGCATTTCTTTATCAAAGTCCATTTTTATAATATGGCATCTTGATTATGCTTTTCATTTGCCAGGAAAACTGATATACAACACTTATGACTGGATTTAATATTTTTTATAGAAACCAAACCAAAACTATTCAGAACTGTATATCTATATTATTTGCTTTTAGTCAAGCAAATTCTATTTTTGCTATTTCTAGACTGTAACATTTTATTTTTTTACTTTTATTTATTTATGTTTGGTCATGCATGTGGCATGCGGGATCTTAGTTCCCTGACCAGGGATCAAATCTGTGCCCCTTACAGTGGAAGCATGAAATCCTAACCACTAGACTGCCAGGGAATTCCCTAGACTTTAACATTTTATATAATCTTGACTTTATAATAAAACTCCCTTTAGTAGTAATACTTACAGCTAATCTGTGGTTATTTGCAAGGCTGATCATTTGCTGCGCTAGGCCATTTAGTAACCGAGTACGAAGGGATAGGTCATCTAGGTCATGACGAAAAGGAAAAGCAATACCATCCACTATCACTAATCGAACCTAAATAAAGAAGAGATAATGATATTAGGTTTGGTATTTAAAATAAAATAATAAATGGCAACCAAAAAGCAGAGTCCATCACAGGAAAACAAAAAACAAAAAACCTTAAAATCCAGGGTTCTATTTCCAACTCTCCAAAGGCTTCATTTTGGTCAGGTATAAATCTGTTCAATGCTTTCTGCACTAGTCACCAAAAGTTAAAATGTACTCTGGTTTGATAATTTATCATCTTAAAAAAGTAATTCAACAAAAGAAAAAGGGGCAATTACAATTTTCTTGCAATTTGCCACTACACCCAGTCTTTACAGAGGTGTACTGATGAAAAGCACTTGAAATCTTAGCAAAACCAATTTCTCAACTAAATGTCAATTTTACCTTCAGGGTTCTTTTTATGTTGAAAAAAAAAAACCAAACGCTCAAATATTAAATTATAAAACCTTTTTCAAAAGCTGAATTTTTTTTTTTTTTTTGCGGTACATGGGCCTCTCACCGTTGTGGCCTCTCCCGTTGCGGAGCAACAGGCTCCGGACGCACAGGCTCAGCAGCCATGGCTCACCGGCGCAGCCGCTCCGCGGCATGTGGGATCTTCCCGGACTGGGGCACGAACCCGTGTCCCCTGCATCAGCGGGCGAACTCTCAACCACTGCGCCACCAGGGAAGCCCTTCCGTTTTTTGTTTTTTTTTTTTCAAAAGCTTAATTTTTGATATACTTTTTCTTCTTAATTTAAAACATACTATAGGGCAACTAACCATTACAGAATCTGTCATAAGATAGAGTTCAGGAAGAGGCAGGTTTGTCTTGAATTCTAATCAAGAAAGTTCACTTACAGATGATAAACATTTTCATGACAGTTTCATTTCTAATCTGTTCTAAATAATGGCTCCTATGGTGAAGTTAGTATAATATATAACCTAAGATCCAAGAACAAATAGAATCTGGAAACTAATCTAAATGTAAACAAACAAAATACTATAAGATTATATATATTTTTCTACCTAATAAGGACTAAGCTAAAGAACAAGCTTTTGTGAAGCACTGTTTTAGTAAGACATTTTTATATCTTTTATTCATTCCTTCATTCAACAAATATTTATTGACACCTACTATATGCTAGTCACTGTTCCAGGCATTGGGGAACAAGAAATAAGATCCCTGTTCTCTTGGAGCTTATGTTCTAGTGAAGTAAGGGACAATTAATTTGCAAACAAATATATGAATAAGATAATTTCTTTTTTTTTTACTCAATGAATTACAAGTTTATTATAAAAGGATATAACTCAGTGCCATAGGATCCAGCTATCCTACTCCTGGGCATATATCTGGAGAAAACTATAATTCAAAAGATACATGCACCCCAATGTTCATAGCAGCACTATTCACGGTAGCCAAGACATGGAAGCAACCTAAATGTCCATCAACAGATGAAGGAATAAAGAAACTGTGGTATATATACACAATGGAATACTACTCAGCCATAAAGATGAATGAAATAGTGCCGTGTGCAGCAACATGGATGGACCTAGAGATTATCATACTAAGTGAAGTAAATCAGAAAGAGGAACACAAATACATATGATATCACTTACCTGTGGAATCTAAAATATGACACAAGTGAACTTATTTACAAAACAGAAACAGACTCACAGACATAGAAAACAAACTTGTAGTTACTAAAGAGGAAAGAGGATGGGGGAGGGATAAATTAGCAGTTTGGGATTAACAGGTACAAACTACTATATATAAAATAGATAAACAACAAGGTCCTATTGTACAGAACAGGGAACTATATTCAATAGCCTGTGATAAAGTACAATGGAAAAAAAATATGAAAAAGAATATGCGTATATATGTATAACCAAATCACTTTGCTGTATACCAGAAACTAACACAACATTGTAAATCAACTACACTTCAATTAAAAAAAAAAAAAAGAAGGATATAACTCAGGAACAGCCAGATGGAAGAGATGCATAGAGAAGGTATGGGGAAGGGACACGGAGCTTCCATGTTCTCTCCGAGAGCCATTCTCCTAGCACCCCAACGGGTTCACCAACTCAGAAGCTCTGAATAAGATAATTTCTGATGATGATAGGAGCAAAAAAGAAACTAAAACTGGGTGAAATGACAAAGAATAAGTAGGTGAAGGGGTAGAGGGAAGCTAACTTAGACTAGATGTAAGGAAGGCATCCGTAAGGACTCAATAGAACTGAGTCCTGGATAAGAACCTCTAGGAGGGAAAGACAACCCACATACAAGGATGCTGAAGGGCAAAGGCCCTAAGACACAAACAAGTTTGGCATGTTTAAAGGGTCAGAAAAAAAGTAGTGAGGGGGAACAGGAGGAAATTACATCAGAAAGAATCAGTGGTGTGCTGAGGCCAAATCCTACAAGCTCCTGAGCCAGGTGCTAAATTTTTAGAAATTTTACAAATCCATCATTAAATACAGTCATTAGCAAAATTAAGCTATATACATTAAAATATGGATAATAAATACTGAAAACTCATTCCTACTACATTTTACTAGTATCTATGCTTTTAAGGTTATTTACATCTATTTTACCTTTATAGTGCAAACATTACATAATGATGTGCATTGTTTCTTCTCTACTCCATGTCCAATGACATCATACATGATACCAGCCATGATAGGAGTATTTTCGTGTGTTTTTTTTTTTTTTTTTTTTTTTTTTTTTTGCGGTATGTGGGCCTCTCCCGTTGCGGAGCACAGGCTCCGGACGCGCAGGTCCAGAGGCCATGGCTCATGGGCCCAGCCGCTCCGCGGCATGTGGGATCTTCCCGGACCGGGACACGAACCCGTGTCCCCTGCATCGGCAGGCGGACTCTCAACCACTGCGCCACCAGGGAAGCCCAATAGCAGTATTTACTACATGGAAATCAGCAAGCAAATCAGTTACAGATCAGGACTTGATTTGTTTTGCTGGTTGTCTAGACTTTTAATAAAGCGATGGGAAAAAAATGTCATAATCAGATTGACCTTAAAAATGTGTTGTGTCTGTAGAGAACAGACTTGTGGTTGCCAAGGGGGAGGGGGGTGAAGGAGGGAAGCATCACTTTGCTGTACCGCAGAAATTAACAAGACACTGTAAATCACCAATACTTCAATAAATTTTTTTTAAGTGTTCTGTCTGTATCCATTGCATTGTGAACTACACAAAAAAATGAGGAAATATGCTTCTACTTTTGGAAAATGAATCCAATAACTAGGAATGATCATTAACTCAAATCAAAAGAAGAAAAATACTCCACGGGAAAACACTATATAATTGCAAGTTTTGGTCCTAGGGTATTTGCAACGAGTCCCAAATACCTAGGGCATCCAAGGACCTCTCTGCTCAAACCAGAGGAGCTATACAGCCTAACCTATAATGCAAGAATAGAAATAGGCTGTTTTCCTCTCTACAGTACAGATTTTACTGAAAGTGGCTGAAATACAAAGATCTGGACGTTCTGTTAAGTGGTAACTGCCACACTCATGGCTTTTCTCCAAGTTTAGGGAGCAAGCTAAATATATGAATATTTAAGAATAAGAATATGAATATTCTCTGGTGAGTTTCCTTGGTCTCTCAAAAGGCAGATTATACCAAATGACAGAAAGTCGATGAAGTACAGAGTTTGAGTGGGTAGAATAAAACAAGCATTGTCAAACAAACAAACAAAAACCAAAAAACAAGCACTGTCATTCAACTCATAAAAGCTGAACTTAAAAAGTCACCAACATGGGACTTCCCTTGCAGTCCAGTAGTTAAGACTTCATCTTTCAATGCAGGGGGTGCAGGTTTGATCCCCGGTCGGGAAGCTAAGATCCCACATGCCTCGCGGCCAAAAAACCAAAATATAAAACAGAAGCAATGTTGAAACAAATTCAATAAAGACTTTAAAAGTGGTACATATCAGGGACTTCCCTGGTGGTGCAGTGGTTAAAAATCCGCCTACCAATGCAGGGGACATGGGTTCGAGCCCTGGTCCGGGAATATCCCACATGCCGCGGAGCAACTAAGCCCGTGTGCCACAACTACTGAGTCTGTGCTCTAGAGACCCAGAGCCACAACTACTGAAGCCAGCGCATCTACAGCCTGTGCTCTGCAACAAGAGAAGCCACCGCAACAAGAAGCCCACACACCGCAACGAAGAGTAGCCCCCACTCACTGCAACGAGAGAAAGCCCGCATGCAGCAATGAAGACTCAACGCAGCCATAAATAATAAAAATCTTTTAAAAAATGAGAAAAGAACCATTTAAATAAATAAATAAAATAAAATAAAATAAAAATGGTCCACATCAAGAAAAAAAATCTTAAAGAAAAGAAGTTACCAGCGTGAATTTTTATTTTGGTCGTGCCCTGTGGCTTGTAGGAAACTTAGCTCCCCTCGACCAGGGATCAAACTCATGCCCACTGCAGTGGAAATGCAGAGTCCTAACCACTGGAAGGGAATTCCCTCCAAAGTGAATTTTTTAAAATAAAAATTAGGAATCCAAGAGAGTTTTAAACTCTTTATGTTTCAGAAACATTTTATGTAGTGTAATTCCCTTCTGCCAGCAGTTCTTTCCTTTGTGCAACTAACAAAGAAGAAATTTTGGGTAAATGGATCATGGGATGACTCCATTTGATATTCCTTCTTTTCTTACTATTCACTGACACTAAGAGTGGTTTATTAGAGATATGAGGTCTTTCCCATATCACAGATAAATTGTTCAGTGTAGAAAAATGAAAAAACTGAGGATGTATCAAAATACTGTAATGTCAGCAAAATAACCATATTTTCCATTTTCACAAAATAAGGCTCAATAAAGACCCCATAGGGCTTCCCTGGTGGCGCAGTGGTTGAAGGTCCGTCTGCTGATGCAGGGGACATGGGTTCGTGCCCCGGTCCGGGAGGATCCCACATGCCGCGGAGTGGCTGGGCCCGTGAGCCATAGCCGCTGAGCCTGCGCGTCCAGAGCCTGTGCTCCGCAATGGGAGAGGCCACCACAGTGAGAG